CTCTCTCTCTCTCTCTCTCTCTCTCTCTCTCTCTCTCTCTCTCTCTCTCTCTCTCTCTCTCTCTCTCTCTATCTCTCTCTCTCTAGCGCGCGCCAATGTGTTCATTGCAGGGGGAACGTGTTTGTCGCGTTGAAGCGCTTGGGGTTGCGCGGCAAATGAGGTGCGGCCGAACGCAACGGCCTTTGTTTGTACCCGTTCCCCCTGCCCCCCCCCCCAGCTGGCCGTCGAAACCCGGTACCCCGCGAACGCCCTGCTCGACGTCGGCCCGACATCACGCGGGTTTTTAATTTTTTGTAAATTAAAAAAAAAAAAACTGAATGCATAAGGTGGTACCCAACAAGGGAATCTCCCACCCCACACCTTCAGAAACCTCGACCCCCCTCCAACCGCCCGAAAGTCGGGTTCGCGAACCTCGTTCATTCGCGTCCAACGCGTGTTTGAACGGGAGTTTAACGGGAATTCAACGCGCGACGCGTGTTCAATTTTTTAACGCAGAACGCGCGTTGAATCCGATTTCGGACACACAACGGACCATAATAGAGAGAGAGAAAAGTTTGCGTGACACCCCCTCTTCTTTCGAAAATCCCGAACCAGAGTCGGTAATATATTTTATATAATTTTCATTCAGACATCTTTGACCCATACATAACTTCCCACTTTGAAAGTCAAAGGTGTGCGTTTCTTATTCGCATGATGGATCACGGTTGTTGTCGCTTGGTCATTGCTGCAATGGCAACCTTGAGCAAGCGATCATTCTTGGCGTTGAAGCCAGATTTGTCGGGTGTCAAACCAGTGTGGATTACGGTTGGCAGGTTGCATTACGGTTGGCAGGTTCGTAAAGCGCGTCGCATGTCTTGAATGCAGTCTTGTGTTGGTCCGCAGGATTGACTTCAATTTGGTGGTACCCAGACTTGAGATCAATCTTGGAGAAGACCTTGCACCTACCTGCAACATCAAGCAAATCATCTATGCGTGGCAATGCGTATGCATTCTTCCTTGTGATGCGGTTTAGACCACGGTAATCAATACAC